GGGGGAGATGGATGCAGTTTATCTCTGAACGCCCCTGGTTGAAAACTCCATCCTTTACTTGATATTGAACATCGATATCCAGATTATAGAGCGGTTACTAGCGTGATACTATTCTTGGTTAAATACACGATACAGGAACAGATAGATCTGAATCAGGAAGATAATATTTTAGATAGATAATTGAATAGATGTGTAGATTAAATAATAGATCTTAGGGTTAAGGTAATTAGAAATAAATAAATTATTGAATAAATAGATTCACCAAAGATTATTTGTATGATTTGTAATAAACCAAATAAGGGTTGTCAGAATTTATTTTGTTAGTTCATTGTGACACTAAACTCTTAATTTGTTAGTTTATTGTGACACTATACTCTTAATTTTGTAGTTTATTGTGACACTAAACTCTTAATTTTGTAGTTTATTGTGACACTACTCATATATTGTTAGTTTAGCGTAACACTATGCTTATAATTTGTTAGTTTATTGTGATACTAAACTCTTAATTTTTTAGTTTATTGTGACACTAAACTCATAATTTATTAGTTTATTGTAACATTAAACTCTTATTTGTTAGTTTATAACAAGATTATCTAGTTGTATAGATGTGAAATGATTATGTCAAACTGACGATATCTATTGAAACCTACAGCTGAGAAACCCAACAGAATATATTCAACTTCAAGTACAGACTAATTCTAGAATATTGCCCAGGTTACTCATAGTTACGCCCGCCGTTTACCCGCACTTGGGCGATTTTACCGGGAAACTAAATTTTAGAAATAAATGTCGACTCAACTTCGAATATCAAAACCAAGCTAAGAACATTTCCGTGACTCTCTCGAGTTCCCCAATCAAAATTTAAGGCAAATCGGCCAAATTGTTCCTGAGTTATGATCGGACAAAAAACAGACAAACAGAGATTACAACTTTATATATAAAAATAGAAGAGGGACAAAATAATGCTAGCTCTTTGTCCTATCCTTATCATGGGTTTTTAATCCTCATGCGTAAAATAAGATCGCATATAATAATTTTTAATTTCTTTCCAGTTACATCATATCTGAAGATCTTTTTTACATTTTATGTCGTCGTTATTTAATAATTTAAAAAAACTAATTTTGAAAACGTATCCACCCCCAAAGTAGGAGTTTTGAACGTCGAATTTTCACTCAAACTCAGGATTTACAGATCTTTAAAAGTTTAATATGTCGCAAATGAATCCGAAAGAAGTTTTCCACAACACTGCATACTCAGTTCAACTACCTTACATAGCCAGTCACTCCCTTTAAGGGTGAAACTATTTAATCAAAAATGTAAAATTCTTTTTTCACCAGCAAAAATGTATACAGCTGCAAATTAGAAGAAACATTTATAGAAGAAAAAAATTGAAAAATTTAATACTCATTATGTGATAAACGTTTTTAAAAAATCAGATCTTAAAAGGAGGTCGAATTTTTAATATTTATTAATATTAATTACCTAAGTAATTTATTATATCATTATTCATTTATTTCTTAAACAAAAATACTACATAGTAGAAGTCCCTGGAGCTTAAATGTACACACAATTGCAAAGAGCTTTTTAATCGTAATTTGTTTGCCTTCATTCACATCATATTGACAATTTTGTGGATTCTTATTTCAGTGTTAAAAATAAAAAAAAATAAATTCTGAAAAGGCAACTTTTTTAAATGAAATATCATTTTCCAATAACTACCAAATTATAAAACAAATTCAATTTCTAAAGAAACGTTTGCCATGAAATGATTTAGTATATTCTTTTTTTGCAAAACATATTTTGATAAATGCCTTCTTATCTATGCAATCTACTTAAAAGACTTCAATTTTATTTTTAGAGTTGATCTGCAATCCCATAAAATAAAGCGTACTGCAGTTTCCGGGAGGAATGTAAACAAATAAAGTGCTGGCCAGGTCAAGTTTTGTTTACATTCGTCCCAGAAACTGCAGTACACAATATTTTCCTTTCATATTCATTGTAACCATTACTGAACGAGGTTGCGTGAATACTAGTTGAGAGGTTTTGTTATAAAAGTTTATTATTGCATGTTCTTTTTAAGAACAATAACAACATTCTTTGTAGAAACTGTAGAAACTCAAGTGACCTTCCAATTAAAAGTTACACGTCCAATTTTATCACAATCTATGTCTGAATAGTAAAGACAAAACATTCCGTATATATTTTGTTATTTTAACAGATTTTTTTATTATTTATTAATTCTAACTATATAAAGGACCTCAAACCATGTATAATATTTATATAATATAGACTTTTTATCTCTAAACTCTAAAGTATAAAAAAATACAAGAATCATGAGTACAGATCCTGGTACATGTACACTAAGGTACAGGAATCATCTAGAGTACAGGTCCAGTTACATGTACAGGAATCTACAAGAGTACAGGACCAGGTACATGTACAGGAATCTACAAGAGTACAGATTCAGGTACATATACAGAAATCTACAAGAGTACAGGTCCATGTACATGTACAGGAATCTGCTAGAGTACAGGTCTTGGTACATGTACAGGAATCTACTAGAGTACAGGTCCTTGTACAGGTATATGAATCCTCTAGAGTACAGGTCCAGGTGCATGTTCAGGAATCTACTAGAGTACAGGTCCAGGTACATGTACAGGAATCTAATAGAGTACAGGACCAGGTACATGTACAGAAATCATCTAGAGTACAGGTCCTGGTACATGTACAAAAATCTATTAGAGTACAGGTCCTTGTACATGTACAGGAATAATCTAGAGTACAGGTCCTGGTACATGTACAGGAATAATCTAGAGTACAGGTCCTGGTACATGTATAGAAATCTACTAGAGTACAGGTCCTGGTACATGTACAGGAATAATCTAAAGTACAGGTCCAGGTACAGGTACAGGAATCTCCATCTCTTTAAGTACAGCTTCAACTGATACAAGAAGTCTATCCATGTCCTGAAAAGTATAAATGTTGACAACTAAAAATTTTATATCATTCAAGAATTTTCTATCATAAGAAAAACAATTATTTTACCCTTCAACGTTAATGTTTATGCAATTTAATCATCTTAAATGTTGTTTAATTATGAGAAATAAAATTTTAAAAAGCTAAACCTGTTTGTGTAAATCTCCGATATTTCCAATTCTAAAGCACTGAGAATCCGTAACTTTTCCAGGATAGATGATCTCCCCTGGACAATATAATTTATAGGATTACTCTGGGATACCAGATCTTACTTTAAAGGGAGCGATCGCGAAAAATGAATGGGGGTATAATTTGACGTCGAATCGAACTCGATATCGATCGCAACTAAATTTACTAATATCTGTATATAAGAAGAATTAAGAAGCTTATAAACTGATAATACCGAAAAACATAAGACACATCAAATTCACAGAATTGATTTAATCGTAGGATACGGATGACTACTTGATTTGCATCACAAATTAATTGACTTCTGTCCACTATGACTGAAAGAGGTTTTTGACGTTCTAAAGCAAAGACGTGTAAGAAGATGGCTAAAGTTGTAACTACAATATTTGCCCCGGCATTTCTTACTAGTGCGAATCGCTCATGCGATTTTAAATAAACAATTACATAAATTTAGATGAATAAAATTTTTTCAATGAGTTTAAGATTTAAAAAAAACGATATAAAGAAATTGGTTTAGCGAATTGGAATTATTTTATTCATCGATTTTTTAACCTTTGTCCGAGAGTGCTGTATAGAAGGTTTTAAACTTGAAGTTTTCATGATCAGGATAGAAGAAACAGCTGATAATGTTGGAAGCATACTGACATTTTACAATGCATTTATCAATTGTAGCACGAAATTATCAATTATTGATTGCTCAAACAATCGCAATTTGTAAAATAAAGAAAAAATCATATTTTCAATTGGTTAATTTGATAAATTCGATATTAATTGATTAGTTAATTGATTGATTGATTGCTTGATTGAATGATTGTTTAATTGCCTCGTCTTTGACTAATGATTTGAATCCAAGTTTGATCATTCCCCTTTTCATGATTTGGCAGTTTGCAGCATACCTGTATTATCAACATCAACATCAACATCAACATCAACATCAACATCAACATCAACATCAACATCAACATCAACATCAACATGAACATGAACATGAACATGAACATGAACATGAACATGAACATGAACATAAACATGAACATGAACATGAACATGAACATGAGCCTACCTATCCCCTCTACCCTGAAGTCCTCCCTCTGCCTTAAACTCCTGTAGAGCCTGCTTGAATGCCAGTATAGTGTGGGTGGGTGGGGTAAACCTTTTAAGTAAACTTAAGTTAACTTTCATTTAAAGAGGGCCATGACCGATTCACAACAGTTTTCCAAACAAAAATATGGATGTTTTTTATAAGAAAATCTTTAACGGGAAGCGTTGTGAATCTGACAAGCCACTCTATTAATGAATTGTTTCCTGAAATAACGTTCGTTTACAGTTTACAGTTCTTTTCAACTCAACTTAGAAAAATTAGAATTTTAGTCTTGTTAAGCCGGTTTAAATCACTACCTACTTCGAAAATAATGAATATAAAAAATGAAAATAACTTAAAAACAACGGTAGGTATTTTAAAGCAGTAAAATGTTACATAATTGGTCAGTCAGATCGCTGTAATCAAAAAGAACCTGAATTGTCGCGTCTCAATCATATTTCTTTCCTGATGTTCCAGATCCAAGCTCAAACTTCTGCAAAATGAATATTTTCATAAATTTTCATATATTTATTTATATTGTTATATGTTTTCATATATTTTTTAATATTGATATATGCTTTTATATATTTTCATATATTTTCATATATTTTCATATATTTATTAATATTGATATATGTTTTATATATTTTCATATATTTATTTAAATTGTTATATGTTTTCATATATTTTCATATATTTTCATATATTTCATATATTTTCATATATTTCATATATTTTCATATATTTCATAAAATTTCATATATTTTCATATATTTTGCTTCATACATTTTCATATATTTTGCTTTATACATTTTCATATATTTTGCTTCATACATTTTTTTATATTTTTATTTATATTTTCATATATATTCATAAAGGAATTGAGTTTTTGCCACAAACTCATATTTTCTAAGCCCTATATCTTTGCAACCCAATGCAATGTCACAGAATTTTGATATTTCCTGTTAAATTGATTAATATAGGTTTAAAAAAATCATACATATTTTCAAGAATTTTTATAATTTTTTATATGATTTATCTTCAATTATTTTTATTTATTTTCATATATTTTCATATGTTTTCATTAATTTTTATATATGTTTATATGTTTTCAAATATTTTCATAACATTTCATACATTTTGATATGCTCTCAAATATTTTTTTATTTTCATATATTCTCATAATAAAATAACAAAACAAGTTAGTTACTCAAAGCATGCAAAATAAGTTGCTTTAGGGAATAAACATTCGAAAAATATCTTCCAGATTATTTATTGAAGGAAAAATATTTTCCAGATTATTTATTGAAGGAAAAATATTTTCCAGATTATTTATTGAAGGAAAAATAAAAGTGGAGTAAAATCCTTATTTCACTGATAGTGTTCAAAAACTTATTTTAGTCAGCATCCATTTATTAATTTATAAGAATGTAGTCATGCAGCACAAAATTCATTGAGCTGAATTCAATAATATTTTCTAAAGTAAATATGATTGATTTTGTATTTTGTTAACTACCTAAATGTTTATACCTTGAGTTCCCAGCACACTTTGCTAGGCATTGTTTTCTGCAGATAGCGTAGGCAAACCCCGGAACTCCCTGAATAGAACATCAAGGGATAATTTACAATGTAAAGGAACAAAGTAACATAAAAGTATAAACCTAAGATAACTATGTAACTAGAATAATCCTGTAAGGGGAGGGGATGGATGGTAAGAGGAGGGAGGGGATGGATGTTAAGGGGTGGGGTGTGATGGTAAGGGGAGGGATGGTAAGGAAGGGAGATATGGTAAGTCGAGGGGAGGGATGGTAAGGCGAGGGGGGATAGAACGGGGAGGTAGGGATGGTAAGGCGAGGGGAGGGATGGTACGGGGAGGGAGGGATATTAAGGCGAGGGGAGGGATAGTAAGGGGAGGGAGGGATAGTGAGGCGAGGGGAGGGATGGTAAGGCGAGGGGAGGGATGGTATGGGGATAATTTCTGTATTATTATGATTAATAATAAAGCGTGATTACTTGAAGAATGATCAATAATGTTTCAGGAACAGAGGGTAGACTTTAGATAGATAGATAGATAGATGGATAGATAGATAGATAGATAGATAGATAGATAGATAGATAGATAGATAGATAGATAGATAGATAGACATTAAATAGGTATAAAATCAAGAAGATATTGGAGATTTTTAAAAAATGTTAATAGCTGTAAAAATATTTCTATTTATTTTTTATTTCTAGAAATATGAATTCAAATAAAAATAAGGTAATTATAATAGATCGATTGATCAACAAATATAAATGCTATGCATATAAAACTTATATAATTCATATAATTTGGTCATTTTTATGATACAGTTTGTTTATTTTGCAATATTTTGTATAATACTAACCTGTAAGCATTTATTTGCAGATGAAACAAGGAAATCTATATTGGTTAAACCTGCAGACAAATGCAATTCATCTTTACAAATCAATTAACTATAAAGAAGAAAACGGATTTTAAAAATAACAGAAATTAGGCTTTTTTAAAACTATTTAAGCTTTTTAAAAACAAAGAAAGTGTTTTAATCGAAAACTTTAAAGCATATTTTTAATCCAAGACCAAATTCTGCTTTTTGTTCAATCAGACAAATTTAAAATTTTAAAACTATTTATTCGAAAATACTGGATACAAAATATTATAAAGAAACTGTTGACATAATTATAAAGTGGCCCATTATGATAAAAACAAAGTGATATTTAAAATCTGCGTTTCTTATTGAATATTCAAGAAAGTTGAAAGTGTTCCTAGTGGTATAGCTCCAAAACTAGACATTGCATCAACAAACATGAATGCTAAGGGTTGATGCTTCCGAACTAGTTCAGCCACCTTTATAAAAATGAAATCAAACAGTTCAGCTACTTTTATAAACATTACATAAACAAACTGTGTTTCCGACAATTTGTTCAGCTGAATGGGAATTTAGACCACGAACCTCTGACCCTTCAGTAAAAGTAAATTCAACCTAAAGTCTGACCGCGTCAACCTTGTTGCACCGGCCAGTCCTATTGAGTGTCTGTTTCATTTACCCACTGACCGGGCGATACAGTACAAACTGGGACCGGAAAAGTTGACCCGGCTCGGAAATTCAAATGTACTACGGCTGCCCGTGAGACGTAATTTCAAGTAACCCTCCATTCATAGAGGGGCAATTCTGATACCCTCTAGTAGTTTCACTCGTCCATTAGCGTCTGATCCAATCAGGGTTCACTCACGTGCTTGGTGAGTACTCAGAACCAATAGAATTGGAAAAGTGGCAAGATCTATCTATTAAAATCTTATCATCCAATTAGAGATCAATACGTAAATTAACGGCAACAACTAAATGGAATTCTTTACTTCTATCGAAACTACGGTTCTATCTTGACAAGTGTTAAATTCTTACAAATTATTTCTTTCTCTCCTGTTGCAAACATCCGCTATAAAAAGTAATCAATTTTTAGATAGAAAAACAGGTAGATAACGGAACCGGTTTTACTGAGACCAAAGGTTTAAAGGATATACTGATATGAATTGAACAAATGACATGCAAGGGAGCTGGGGTCACCTCAAATTACATCTTCAGTCTCTTTAGGTGAAATTTTGTATATCTTTTTTTTCTGCGAAGAAAGAAACATAAATCATTTTATCAATAATTTTCTTCTTAAAAACTAAGGAACATTAAACCGTTATTAAAGAGAATACCAAATTCTGAAAATGTCCAATGTATATGTATATGGTTAATAATATTGTCCAGGAAACCATAAAATGATATGATAATTGGGGAAGTTTTCCAATGTCAAGTTGCAGTTAAATCAAGCCCAAGATGAAGATTAATGTCTGCTTTTTGCAATTCAAAGAATTATAAAACATGTGCCCTTGGACAGTTATATTGGATTTAGTTCAATGCATGTAAATCCATTTTTGGCTGGATTTTACTTTTAACAATAGCCTTAATTTTTTACATAACAATTACTTGCAAGTTTTGTCAGTTTATTTCAGGTATTCCAATTCATTTCCATGCTTTTTTAGAGGACCTCTCTCAGGGCCAGTGAATATGTTGCCTTTTGTGAATCAAATAATTTGATTTTGGTCATAAAGTGGTGAACAACTTTTCATTTTCATTTTAATTTCCAGATGATACCTCCTCAACATTATTGATGACTCCAGAACTGGTTTCACAGTGAACAATGCAGACAGTAGTGTACACTTTCCCATTAGTCAGCTGGGCCTCAACCTGCAGTAAAACTATAGTGTACACTTTCCCATTAGTCAGCTGGGCCTCAACCTGCAGTAAACAATGCAGACAGTAGTGTACACTTTCCCATTAGTCAGCTGGGCCTCATGTACACTTTCCCATTAGTCAGCTGGGCCTCAACCTGCAGTAAAACTATAGTGTACACTTTCCCATTAGTCAGCTGGGCCTCAACCTGCAGTAAACAATGCAGACAGTAGTGTACACTTTCCCATTAGTCAGCTGGGCCTCAACCTGCAGTAAAACTATAGTGACTTGAATCACGGGTACATCCTTTCTCAAAATTGCATGCTTGACAAGTTAGATTTCATTGATTATGTAAAATTTTTACTGACTGAAGAGACAGTGAGTCAAAATAAAAGTGTAAATCGCGGGACCTGGTGCAACTCTCTTTAATGGTGTTTTTTCAATATTTTTTGAAAATTTGTACTTTTTTTGGTACTCTAATGGCCCAAAAAAAATCCGCGAACATTTTTTCTCTCAAAACCAAAAGTTCGGAAAACAAAAATGTGTAAATAGATTATTTCTATCGAAATCTAAAATATTAAAAAGATTGAATCTCAGAATTGCAGAAAATTTGCTAAATTGTAATAAGAAAATTCGCTATTTTCAGTTCTGGTCTAATTTTTATGGAACGTTTTCCAATAGTTTTTAAGGTTTCAACTGAACAGCGTATATTTAATACTTTAGAATATACTAAGAAGAAAGGACTTAGAGAATTTAAATGACTTTTCCTTAAAATTTAGACCAGAACTGAAAATTGCGAATATTTTTATTACAATTTTGTGATTTTGTGATTCAATCTTTTTAAAATTTTAGATTTCGATAGAAATAATTTATTTACACATTTTTGCTTTTCTGAACTTTTGATTTTGAGAGAAAAAAAGATTCGCGGATTTTTTTTAGGACCATTGGAGTACCAAAAAAAATAAAAATTTTCAAAAAATATTGAAAAAACACCATACAGCAGAGTTGCCAAAAAACGGTACAATTTTGCAACAGGTGCCGCAAATCACGCTTTTTATTGACTCACCCTGTATTTACAAAGACAATTTCTCAAAACAATCAGTAAAATCGTTTTTGTTTTGGAAAAAAAAATTAAAATTTTTCCTTGCTTCCTTTGAGAAAAGAATTGCATAATGTAATAAAAACAAAGTTATCAATAATACAATTTTGTAATTTAATAGATGCATTCTTGTGGAGAACTTTTAATGTCTTGATGCAAGTATTTCTTCTAGAATCTTGATTTGAGAACTGGCTGATTAGTTAATAAGATAATAATAATGTTTTTTCCTAAACTGACCTGAGAAATGTTAAAAGGTAGGATCTCAGATGAACGAATTGAATCAAACTCTAGATCTGCCACTAATTAGAAAAGATCTATAAAGAAGAAACTTGACAATACTTAAATTAAGAAACTTAATTTAAACTACTGAAGAACCTTGTCAATATTTAAATTCAGAAACTTAATTTAAACTATACTGAAGAAACTTGACAATACTTAAATTCAGAACTTAATTTAAACTACTAAAGGAACTTGACAATAACTTAATTTAAACTACTGAAGAAACTTGACAATACTTAAATTCAGAACTTAATTTAAACTACTAAAGGAACTTGACAATACTTAAATTCAGAACTTAATTTAAACTACTAAAGGAACTTGACAATACTTAAATTCAGAACTTAATTTAAACTACTGAAGAAACTTGACAATACTTAAATTCAGAAACTTTATTTAAACTACTGAAGAAGCTTTACAATACTTAAATTCAGAAACTTAATTTAAACTACTCAAGTATTGAATGTCAATATTAAGTTTGAATCTAGCTAAAAGTAAAAATTAGCCATAATGGTAATACTCATAACTTACGTTTTGAGCGTTCAGTAACGTAAATTTTCAATATGGAGATAAACATAATATTCAGTAGATTCAGAAACAGTGAATTTTGTGCTGTGTATACGTTGGCAGATCTTAACCCTATCCCTGCTGGGGTACTTGAAAACCAGGATATGCTAGGGGGGGGGTCAATTTGACCCCCCCCCCTCTAAATCTCATGTTTTATGTCCAAATATGACAAATGATACATCATTAGAAAGCTCTTGTGCTCTACTTTTAGAATCTGCAAAAAATTTTGCAAATTTGCAAAAATTGAATTTTTTATCGCAAAATCCAGTTATATAGTAAAAATGTTTGCAAAAAAAAATTTGTCCAAAAAATGAAAAATTATACATTTTTGAAAAGCCCTTAACCATGCCATTTCAAATATGCAAATATTTTTGCAAAATTTTAAATAACCTTATTTTTAATGAAGAAAAACTAAAAATTTCCTTTGAAAGGTTGTTTGCAAAAAATTTGCAATTTTTTTTCGCAAAACTTGTGCAATCCGTTTCCTTATGTCAAAGCTAAATTTTATCAAAATCTGACAAGTGAAAGCATGGGTCAAAACAAAGATTTAGTTTGTTACAGGCAAAAGCAGTCATTCAGGCAGTGGGCCTGAGGACTCAGGCAGTTAGTATTAAAGCCCGGTTTTAGGCCTAAAGGGAGGGCTTTGGGTATGTAAGAAAAGTCAGAAAATTTCAACAGCCTCAGACCAATACTTTTTGAGTTATGTAAAAAAAAACTACAGGGGAGGGGGTCAAATTGACCCCCCCCCCAGCAGGAATAGGGTTAAAGAAATACTATTAGGAAATTGACACAATATTGTTCGGGGATGAAATTTAGTCTTCAAGTTTACCTTTACACATAGTTTCCATCCGTAAACCATAAGCTCCGTTTGCCAAAATCAAAACTCTACAAAAAAAATTATCTTTAGAAGAAAGAGGTAGTGTGTCAGTATTCAATTTATATTTTTTTCATTTATTCATATTATTCGTTCTATTAAAGTGTGTTTTGATGGGATGGACTACATATCAGATTCTGGATATATTTGAACTAAAGAGTTTTGGGGGTTGATGTTTGATCTGAAGAGTTTTACATGTATTCAGCTCTGGGGGTTGATGTTTGATCTGAAGAGTTTTACCTTCCTTCACCTCTGGGGGGTTGATGTTTGATCTGAAGAGTTTTACATTCCTTCGCCTCTGGGGGTTGATGTTTGATCTGAAGAGTTTTACCTTCCTTTACCTCTGTGGGTTGACGTTTGATCTGAAGAGTTTTACCTTCCTTCCCCTCTGGGGGTTGATGTTTGATCTGCAGAGTTTTACCTTCCTTGATCTCTGTGGGTTGATGTTTGATCTGAAGAGTTTTACCTTCCTTCACCTCTGGGGGTTGATGTTTGATTTGAAGAGTTTTACCTTCCTTCACCTCTGGGGTTGATATTTGAACTGAAAAGTTTTACCTTCCTTCACCTCTGGGGGGTTGATGTTTGATCTGAAGAGTTTTACCTGCCATCACCTCTGGGGGTTGATGTTTGAAGAACAGCTTCAACTGCATAAGTGCCACTTCCCTGTGTAAAGCAAGGTTTATAAAGACAATACTAAAGTTAATAATCTATTTTAAATAAATATATTTCAGGGTTCTTTAAGCGAGACAGGCTTGCGAATATATTAGACTTTTTCTTTTATTTGTATATACTTATTGTTTGTTTGTTTTTTGTTATTTTTCTCTTTTTAAGATAATGTTTTATCTTTTTATGAATGAGTGCATTTTTTAATGTTATTTTTTAATGGGAAAATTATATTTGACTAAAGGATTTGAGTTTTTGCCACAAATCATGATTTTCCAATCCCTTTATCTTTTCAACCCAGTGTCGCAGAACTTTGGTATTTTAAACAATGAATTCTGTTAGATTAAATAATCTAGGTTTGTAATATCAAAGGTTTACACCATTAGTTTGTAAAGATATTGGGTATAGAAAATTTGAGTTTGTGGTAAAAACTCAATTCCTTTGTTGGACTTTTTAACAGAAAACATCTGCACTACACTGGAAGACATTTTTTGCATTATTGTATTAATATACAGTAGCTGAAAATTTAATTTAAAGTTACTACATCGTTTTTCCCTCTCTGTTTGATCTGAAGTTTGAACCTCATGATTAATGCAATTACTACATTCTTTGCCCTATCTGTTTGGTTTATTAACAAGCATAATGTTACTACATCCTTTGCCCTAATTACTACATTCTTTGCCGTATCTTTTTGGTATGTCTAAAACCATAATGTTACTACATCCATTGCCCTATCTGTTTGGTATATTTACAAGTATAATGTTACTACATTATTTGCCCTATCTGTTTTGTATATTTACAAGTTTAATTTTACTACATTCTTTGCCCTATCTGTTTGGTTTATTTACAAGCATAATGTTACTGCATTCTTTGCCCTATCTGTTTGGTATATTTACAAGTATAATGTTATTACATCCTTTGCCCTTTCTGTTTGGTATATTTACAAGAATAATGTTACTACATCCTTTGCACTATCAGTTAGGTACATTTACAAGTATAATGTTATTACATCCTTTGCCCTTTCTGTTTGGTATATTTACAAGTATAATGTTACTACATTCTTTGTCTTATCTGTTTGGTATATTTACAAGTATAATGTTACTACATTCGTTGCCCTATCTGTTTAGTATATTTACAAGTATAATGTTCATACATTCTTTGTCCTATCTGTTTGGTATATTTACAAGTATAATGTTACTACAATCTTTGTCTTATCTGTGTGATCTATAATGTTGGAATCTCAGGATTAATGTAAACTACATCCTTTGCCCTATAGCTGCAAATGTTGGAACTTAAGGATTAATACAATTACTACATTCTTTGTCCTATCTGTGTGATCTATGATGTTGAAATCTAAGAATTAATGCAATGTTCTATCTGTGTAAACTACAATGTTAGAACCTGAATGAGAACAGCAGTCCAATCATGTTCGGACACACCTGCAATCTCCAGCAGTTCACGTCTGACATCACTATAGAGGAAATTAGTTACGCGATTTGGCTCATTTCTTACACTGAGTGTTAGAAATGGGCCAAATCTGTCAAGGTATCTTTGCAATTGCGTATATATATTTAAACAAAACTTCAGAATATATTGAACAACATGATTTATCCAATTAAATTTTGCGTAAAAATAAGTCAAATGTACTACCTACAGAAAACTCGGAAATAGGAAGACGATTTTTAGACTCCAGTTACGACTTAATAATGACCGTGCTAATAGCGTATTGTTAATTAAAATTTGTTTATTTATTATAATAAAACAAGAAATTCGTGTATGTTCCCTATATCCGACCAAATGACATTTTTGAAGGGTATCCCGGGGGTATTAAAGGCAAAAAAAACTATTTTTTAAAATTCTTTTTCTAAATTCACGGACAACGTCGGGCACTTCAGTCAGTTTAATTTTTAAAACCTGACTGTCTGTATGAATGTTTCATCTCTAGACCCAAGATCTTTTAACATTGCCTCCTTAACAAAATATTTAGTTTAAAGGGACTGTTAAGGTAAAATGAAACTGGTTTGGTATATAGGCTGAAGCCTCCAAGTTTTAGGAGTTGATCGCGACCAATATTAGTTCTATCTGATGTCCCTGTCTTGATAAATTGATATAAACCTTTGTTAAAGATAAACCAAAACTTATATATATGTGATATGGTGTATAATGAATCAAAGTTTTAAACAGATCATATTCAGCCAATACGGAACAAATTAAAAAAATAGGTTATCCCTGAGGTGCCTTACAAGTTTAGGTGCGCTTTTATTATAATTTGAATACAATACTTCTTTATTTTTAAAAGATATAATAAATTAATGAATATTTTCTTTCTAACTTTTAATTTGCAAAATTTCAAATCAAATCATAAAATTCACTGAAAAAATTGAAATACTCATTAATTCTGTAGCTAAGAAAGGTTTGGAACTTTTAACACCTGCCTCAAACTCTAATTTTCTAATCCCCAAATAGTTATGAATAATTTGATTTTGAGGCAAGTCTTTTTTCTCCTTAAACTTTTCTTAGGAATGTTAGCCTAAACTAAAAGTGGTGGTGCATACTGGACATACTGCATACTGCATACTGGACATACTGCATACTGCATACTGCATACTGCATACTGCATACTGCATACTGGACATGGGCATTTTAGTCCCTAATCAAAATACTTATTTGACAATAGCATACTATTTGTTTGTATAAACCAAATTAAAATTTAAGAAAAATAAATTTACAAAAATGTACAGGTCAACGTAACACCAGTCACCAAGGCCTTTCAGTTAAAAGGTGTAAAAAACGAAAGGTTTATAATACCTTGGTTGAAAGTGAGCAGTTGAGAGGACCAGGAGTAAACAGTTTTTTATCAATAGAACCCATTTTACTATTTTTCAAATAAATATAATTTTAAAATGTTCAAACTATATTTTTACATGTCCAGTTAGTTACAAGGAGAAACGTAAATAAAAAAAAACAATGGACAGTTGAATGTCTTAAACAAGGAAAGAAAACACGCCAATGAGAATGAATAGGAGAACACAGATACGATGGTGTTAACCATTAATTTAAGACCTCTAAAAAATGTCGTCTTCAACGTGTATCTCCTCTCGGAGACAGCCAAACCAAATTTTCAGCCCGCAATTCCCTTTGTACTCCTCCGACGGAGATTCAAATATTTTCGTTGTTGTGAAATCATTAAAGTTAAGCAAAATATTTTCATAAGAAGCATTAGTGAATTTCGTTAAATATTCAACTGTAATTTTTCAGAAGTTAAAAAAACGTATTTCAATACTGATCAACAATAAGTCACCCCCGACCATCCCTAAATAATTCGTAAGATTTTTTTCTACTATTAATATTCATTATAACATTGTACAAGTAACCATGACCTATAATTTATGTTATTTTTTAGGAAATAAAGATTTTGTTATCGAATTTCTGAGACGGGGTTACTCTGTTGTGTGTATTTGTGCGGCCTATCGGGAAAGAATTGTCCGGGGAAAATAAACATACCCCACCAGAATCCTAACTGGCCTATTATCCTGATTTGTCTAGCATGTTGCTGTTTTCCGTCAACAGATGGATAAAGAACGGAACAAGATATTAGACAAGGAAGATAAATAAGACAAGAAAAAAAATACAAAACAAGACGAAGACATGTGCAAGCATGAAGGGAAAATTATAAACAAAGAACAAAATTAAAGAATATAACAGGAAAAGATCAAGAGTAAGGAATATAACAGGAAAAGAACAAGAGTACGGAATATAACAGGAAAAGATCAAGAGTAAGGAATATAAAAGGAAAAGAACAAGAGTACGGAATATAACAGGAAAAGAACAAGAGTAAGAAATATAACAGGAAAAGAACAAGAGTAAGGAATATAACAGGAAAAGAACAAGAGTACGGAATATAACAGGAAAAGAATAAGAGTAAGGAATATAACAAGGAGAGAACAAGAGTAAGGAATATAACAAGGAGAGAACAAGAGTAAGGAATATAACAGGAAAAGAACAAGAGTAAGGAATATAACAGGAAAAGAACAAGCGTACGGAATATAACAGGAAAAGAACAAGAGTAAGGAATATAACAGGAAATGACAATATCAATGAACACTGCAGCTATGGAAAGTACAAGAGCAAAGAATATAATGAAGTCCTTCTTACTTTAAAAAAAAGATGCAACTGACAAACAACCAACATATGTAGAATCTGGATGTTCTGATATCAAAATACATGTTTACAAAATAATATAAACAAAATTTGATTAATTTTGTACTTTCAACTTTTATCATTTTCTTTTTCATTTTTTTATCAAACTTTTATTATTACAAAAATGACATAGAAAGAGTTTATTTCTTTTTCTTTTTTGATTATTTTTTTATCGCAAAAGGTGTTTTGTTTACCACAATGGAGGAAGATAAAAAGACACAAATTATTTCCTTTTTAATAACTATCTCATAGAAAAATGTTTATTAATTAATACTAATTTTTTACATACTAAAGTGCCCAACGTTGTTCGTGGAATTAAAAAAATTTAATTTTTGAAAATGAAAATGTCCACATTTTTTAATATAATATACTCCCCGGGCACCAATGAGATATATCTCAAATAATTTCACCCCATTCGCTCGAGCTGTTTTGCCAGCTACAGCTATAATATACAAATATATATTTTGAGTGAAAAACTTTATTATAAAGATGAAATGTTTCAATTTTTGCATTTTAGAGTTTATTTCTAAAGAAAAAAGTCTATTTTCAATTTCTAAATCTATCATCAAGTCAAAAATTATAAGAAACTTAAATTTTGCTCTCTCCTCTGCTGAAAGTTCATGAAAGTTTTCTTTTTTACCAAAAACAAATACGTCTACGCATACAACGTCCTATATAACGTCCTATATAACGTTCTTTATAACGTCCTTTATAACATCCTATACAACGTCCAATACAACGTCCTATATAATGTCATATATAACGTCCTATACAACGTCCTATATAACGTCCTATACATCTTTCTATACAACGCCCTATACAACGTCCTGAATAACGTTCTATATAACATCCTATACAACGTCCATAACGTCCTATATGTCCCATTCTACAAGTTCTACAAAAAAAATTATGTTAGCCATGCGGGGATACCATCAAAGGTTTTTAAAGACGACTGTGCGGAATTTATTCTGTATGTTTTTAATTACATTTTGGTTCTTTGTAATTGTAAACTTTATTAAGTTAGATCTGAGTCTGACACTAGACTTATTTTCCATTCACTGTTTCCCCAAATTTCTGTAAATTTTTCAATGATTTGATCCAGCTTCTATAAGGAATTAAGTCTTTGCCACCAATTTTCTAATCCTTACATCTTAATGTCATAGATATTTCACACTATGAATTCTGCCGTTAGATTAAACAGTTCTAAGTTTGAAATATCCAAAGTTCACATAATTTAATTAGGTTGCAAAGATATGGGGATTACAAAATTTGAGTTTGTGGCATGAAGACTTAATTCATTTGCTATGCCAGATTATCAAATTACATACCCCCCTTGCACTCCTTGGAGTCCCTTTCTACCATGTCGACTGCTGCAGTACGAACTCGTTAGTTTACCTAATTTGAGAGACAGAAACTTTAGAAGATTTATGAAACCATTGGTTTGGGAAGGATAAAAGTGAAAGAAAAAAAATCTGATATAATCAATTCTCCAATTATTTTGCTTGACAAGTTTTTGCAATGTTTTATCTATTCTCTTTAATCTTAACTTTGTAAATAAAAAGATGAGTTTTATAATGTTACATACAGGATTAACCACAAAGGATGAGACTTTAGAGACTACTGTAGGGAATTTGTTTAGTCCGTTTTCTTGAATTCAGGGTTCCTTGTAGGCCAAAACTGTGCTTAATCATTCCGTGAAGTACCATCAAAATACTCAATTAAATACAGAAACCAAAAATCAAGCTTAAAATCGTCATATTTTTAGAGTTTGGGTCGTCTTTACAGTCTCATCCTTTGTGGGTAACCCTGTATGTTACCTCTTCAAAACACGTTTGCACACTGTACAGTTATACAGACTTAATTTTGTATACACAAGACAGTACGTTAATGTTTATAATTTTCTTTTTCAGTTTCTGCTTGATGAATCCGGTGATAGACGAGTGAAATAAATATTTTTTCCTCAATAAGTTTACATGAAATCTTTTTTTACGACACCCATCGACGCCCACTCCTGCCCCATGGAGCGGCAGGAAGGAGGTAAAATTGTTATAAACTTTGGTTTTAGGGGATTACATAATTTTGTTTGGTGTTTTTATCTACATATATGTTATAAGCTCCAATAACAAATGAGATTTATAAGGGGGAGCGTGAAGTGTCCAGGGTGGGTTTCCGGTTTATATCCCCTTTTCCCCCTGTATTGGCACTTAATTACAAAAAAATTTTCAAAAACGATCGTTTTTTCAAAAACGATCGTTTTTTTAAAAACAATCGTATAAAAAATGGTCGCAAATCGTTTTAATAAAAACGATAGTTTTCAAAAATGATCGCTATTCGTTTTCTAAAAGTTCAAAACGAGTGGGTCGTTTTTAAAAACGATCGTTTTTTCCGAAAACGAAACGATTGTTTTTGAAAACGAAACAAAAAACGATCGTTTAACGATCGTTTTCGAAAACGATTAACAACCCTACCCCCCTCTCAAGACTCAACCTTCCCTTTCATTTCGTATTATAATCTAGAATAAATACTTAAAATTCGATAAAGCTAAGACGACATTTCAATTTATCGCCGCTCTCAACTTTCTAGTTTCTTTTATTTCCAAACCAAATAATTGGTAAAAATCGGTGACGTTTTCTTTTTCAAACTTGGGTTAGACAAAAAGTACATCGAAGTTCGAAGCTAATGCGTATTTGTAGGATATAATTGTGAATTCTTATTAATCCAGTAAATTTTAATACAAATTTTGAATATAAACATTTCTAATTTCTCTGAATTCTCTAGTATCGATCCACTTCACCTTTTACCCTTACACAAGTTACACGAACACAATTTGGACGCAGCATTTTTTACCTTATTTAATATTTAATAAGTTCTAGGGTTTCTGTGACGTAAACTATGTAGTAGGTCTAGCTAAGGCGT